GTAATTTTTTATTTTCTAGAGCTTCTTTAATCATGTTCGCGAGTGGAGTTAATAATTTTTTTGAAAAGGCCTTCTAATACTCGACAGGGAAGCCATCTGGCCTGGGAGTTTTGTTATTTTGTAAAGAATTAATGGCTTGGAGTACCTCTTTTTCTGATTTATCTGCATCAAGCAGATCTCTATCCTCATCTTGCAATTTGGGAAGGGTTATTCCATCCATGAACCTTTTTGCTCCAATATTATCAGCGTCCTGCCAAGTTTTATATTAATTTTCGTAAAATTGTTTGAATTCTGCATTAATGGATGGTGAATTATCAAGGAGTCTGCCGTCCTCTGTTAACCCTTGTGTTATGTTGCGGGTCAATTTGACCCGTTTCGATTTTCTAGTTGTTGGAAATACTGGTTAACCTTTGTTTTTTTTTCTTGATATTGTGTGACTTTTTCTCATTTATCATGATGAACATGCATGCAAAAAGTTTCAACATGCTGATGTGTTTTGACATATACAAACAAAATTACTATTACGTTCGTGATGTTCGCGGGTCAATTTGACCCTCATAGGCAGCCATTCAAAAGCAACTGTACAGACACAAGATAAAAACATTTATTTTCTGTATGTCAGGGCACTTCAACTCCAGTTCTAACGTGCAAGTGTATCTAAAAGTGATCTAACCCTAACCAAACACACTTGAAAAAGCTTTTAAAATGTTTTGTATTGTAATGTGTAATTGTAGGAGTCCATTACAGTAATCCACCCTGCTGGTGATAAAAGCATGCATAAGTTTCTCAAAGTCTTGATTGGAAACAAAGCATCTAATTCTTGCAATATTTTTCAGATGATAGTATGCTGATTTAGTTATTGCTTTGACATGACTACTGAAACTAAGGTCTGACTCTAGAGACACATTTTAAACCCTCTCTCATCATTGCGAGTTGTGTACTCGTGTTGGATGGTCTGCTTTGTCTATCCGTAGACTAAAACACTGGCATGTTCTCATTTATAAAACTATCCTGGGACTGCTTCCTTCATATCCTCAGACATACATCTGTAAAAATGTGTAGGTAGGTGGTGCGGCTGAACTGGGGAAAGGGCATTTAATTTTGCAGCTTCCTCTGCCTGGAATAATCTTCAAAATAAGTTGAAACTTTCTTTTACTGTTTATGTATAAAGCAGGCAAACAATAGAGGTCGTTTCTCACAGTTTCTCCCAGTTGGTGATCACCAGCAAACTGGACTGTGGATCTACCTTTTTGGACTTTTCCTTTCCAGCACTATTTGGATCATCACTTCCGTGGGCTCTGTATATACACTAGGGATGGGCAAATGAAGCCCCGTGAAGCACTGAGGCTTTCCCCTGATTGTTCCAGATTCGAAGCGTCATGAGTGTCGAAAACAGCGCCATCTTGTGGCAGGTCAAATTTGTAGCAGCCATAAACCTGAGTGTGCAGCGCCGTTGTTTTATCTATTAATCATAAATAAAAGTCTGACAACACTACATGTTCAGTTTTCTGATAATATAATTCACATATTAAAGTGTGGCAATAAATTAAATGTAACAAATATATTAATACTAATTATAAAAATACCAACAGAGTTGTATACAATACGCACTCCGGCACGCAGCTTCATGAGAAATCGCAACGCAAACTCTTGGGGACAAATAAAGTGTTTTGAAATGAATCTGCAGCAGTCAGGTGGTAAAAGCAAGCACTCTGTAGGTTATGGTCATAAGTGTAATGTTATATGCTCTGACAAATGAGGTAATTTAATGGCGCCTCATCTCGTGACGCTTTGCAGACTTTGCTGAGTACTCTCATGTGTGCTAGCTTGCTATTGCCTCTACGAAACTGCACACCCTAGCTTTAAACAAATGCTTTATGTTAATGAGGAAGACATCTTAAACTATGAAACTTGATGTTTTAATGGTTCAAAAAACTCTTATGTCAAAAGATCAAAGCAAATTTGATGATAAAAGAAGGAATTTTCAAATGGTTCACATCATTGTTGGCTTTATCTTTGTCCCCAGACCACATAATTATGATATCATGACATATCATGAAAACAATCCTTGCTGACATAAATGAAAAATGCCATTATACCTCTTTATTCTCTTTTTTTAATTTATGTATGAAAAATCAGCAACAAACTACACTTAAAAAGGTATTTAACATTCTAGATTTACTGCTTTAACAAAACATTTTTGAGTCACATGTGATATTCATGGGCCCTGTCTGTCTCAGTGCTGAAACTCTTTATACAAACTTACAGGAATAGACAGCTCAGACTTTTGTAATGTATTGCAAATGTCATTAACAGATTCATAATCATATGTTAATGATTCTTCATGATAAATCATACGCTGAAGGTTCAGAATGATTGGAATCACGTTCTGCAAAGCTCCTGTTCTCTTAAGGGAAACAGTAGGAAACCGCTGAAAGTGCTGTGGTTATTGAGCCTATCAAATATCCTGCTGCCAGACCAAAGTCTCACGTAGACAACATCTCCAGCCTCCAGGACCAACACAACTCCGTTCGAGGAGTTTATCCCATCCCTGGCCTGAAGAGCATCTGCCATAACCACACGCTCTCCATTTTTAATGATGGATAAAGCTGCTGGAGTTGGGCCATGACTAAATACTGAGATTCTGAACATGTACGCTCCTTTCAGCGGGGCTATGAAAATACCTAAAGCAAATAACATGAGTTACAGAATCAGCTGTTTCCTGTATGATTGCTTAATTAACAAGTAGACTGTGTCATAGTTTTGAAAGATGGCAGATCATTTAATTCTCTTATACACGTTACACAACTGCAGAGAGGTCCTAATGAGCAGAAGGGTTTTCATTACTATAAACTGAGTTGTATGACTTATGTTTACACGGAAACAATCTGAAGAGAAAACGCAAAAGTGGCGTTGCGTTATCACTTTTTATTCTGCGTTTAGACGAGTGTTATGGTTGGGAAATCCGCGTGCATATTGTGGCACTATGTTGATCTCAACCGAAAATAACTTTGACTCATCTTTTTGTTGTTTTAAATGTTTATATACATCAGCGGTCGGCAACCTTATAGCACGTTAGGGTTGGTGTGAAAGGATTAAAATGGTTAAAAGTCTCTCACTTTAATAGTAATTATAGCTCCTAACTTAATGAAACAGGCTGTGTGACTATGAGGAATGATTGTACGTCCATATACAAGTTATTTTCTCACTTTATTTATAGGTTTCTCCACATATTACACAATTCCAAACATTCCAGAACACAGATTTACAATTTAACATATGTGGGGAAAAAGGGGTAAGATCAGAGGATAGGCAGGGATCCAGGACATACCCAATATAAAGGGAACAATTATTGACCCCAAATAAGAATGTACAAATATACCCAATAAAGTACCAAATATGCAAAAATTACCCCTCAAATATATCAGTCCAATATCTATGTAGGGTTGGCCAGAACCAAAATGCCAGGGTTGCAGGAGCCTGACGACAGCGGCCACATATAGGATCAATGTCAGAGTTTGACCTCAGTCCAATGAGTTTGATTAAGTATTTTGCATTGGATCCATCCATGTTTGGCACACACAGAGGAGGAATGCACCCTGTGTAAAATACTCTCACATAGCTCATCTGAAATATCCTCTAATAAGTCTTCCTCCCACTGAGTTTTTATAGATGCCAGTGAGCTTCTATGTAGGGAATAGTGGTGTCGCAATATACCGGTGTTGGAATATTGAAATGAAATGCATGAAATATCGACATCGTGTTAATTTAGAGTGTGACAATATATCGGTATTGGCGATAACCACAATGTTAAAATTATCATACGCCTGTTTAACAGAAGTTAATTTGGGTGGGTTTCTCCATCCCCAATGTCACTTCTCTGACGAGAACGTTGCTCTCCTCGGCTGTGAACCGCTCCTGACGTGCGCCTGGTAAATCCGCCGTTATAATAGGAATCCGCTTTAGAACAAGCGCGCCTGCTCTTAAAGGGAATGTGAGATGACGCTCTGATTGGTTTATTTCACGTTACGCCCAAACCACACCTATGAATAATGAAGCTACTTCAGACCAACCCCTTTTAGATTTGCGCCGGGCGCAAGAGGCATTTATCCCGCCGGGAAAATAGCAACAGCGCCGGGATCCGCCCACAAAGTTACTTGCGCTTTGACACTTGCGTTTCACATCGTTAAAATAGGGCCCTAGGTTTTTTCTGGTCAGTGTGGCAATTGTTTTCTGGAACTGCAGAATAGCACTAGGGAATGTTTGCGCCGGAACACGCCTCCTCTTTGCGCTGAGCCGCCCAGGGAGCGCAAGTTCATTCCCTAGTTTAGCGACGTGTGTCTGTGGAGGGAAAAGTCCGCTTTGGGCGGGTGCAAAATAGGAATGATACATGCGTCAGTGTACAAAGTAAATTGCGCTGAGTGCAAGATAGGGCCCCTGGTGTTTATATCTGTGAGTGTGAACACAGTTTGACTTACTCCTCATGAAAATCACATCACTGTTCTGTAAGCTTGTGTTCAGGAGAGTCTACACTCAAATATCAGAGATTGTTTTTTACTGAAAACAAAGTGTCCTCCTGTGTGTAAAGAATTGGCAAATATGTAATAGATTCATACATATTTTTATTGAGCTTTTTGTTTTTGCATACAAATGAAATGAAAAAAATTCAGAAGCACAGATAAGAGTCTTTATTTTTTATGTTAGAAAGCTTGTAGGATAGTAAGAGCTCCAAGTACAATCACAATCAACTTTGCAAAGTCCTGCTTTAGTCATCATCATAGGGCACAATATACTGTATTAATTTAACAACACTTTCCGTATTTATTTTTTTACAGGTGTTTTACCTGTGCTTTGAATTTTACACTGCATTACATTGTGTTTTATATAGTTAACAGAAATGTCTGTAAATTAATGGATAATGTCCCGGTAATGAGATGCCAGTACTTTTTCTGTTATTTTACAGATTTATTTCTTACAGTATACTACACATTGTAAACCATCTATGCACATTTTTTGCAACAGTAATCCCAGTTATACCCATGGTCTCCACACTTATGATCAGACCTGCAGGTTTTGCCGTTCACAGCAGAGTAGCAGTCATCAGAAGTACAGCACTGGTCATGACTGCCTTTAGTATCCGTGTAGCACCACGGCTCACTTAAACCATATCTGGCACAGGCATGGTCACTGCGGCAGAACTTCCCGTTCTTAGCTTTACTGCTCCACAGCGGAGGACTGCAGTAATCCCAGCCATCTTTAAAGAAACCATGAGTTTTACACCAGTAGTAGTCGTAGCCGTATGTGGCGCAGGGGTGATCATACCTGCACCTCTCTCCTTTAGCCGTGATGAGCGAGGACTGCGGTGAGCACTCTATCTGCGTCCGGCCTGAGTTACACCTGTAGCTCTTGAGATAGGGCTGGTACAGGCAGGGAGAGGAGCAGCAGGGCATGATTAGACCTCCTGAGGTGCACTGACAGCTGTAAACAGAGTCACTGAAGCTTGAGCACTGCGATCCATCAGCTGCAGTCTTCTGCTTCTCTGGGACCACCAGGCATTCAACAGCGTCCGGCCACTCGGACACATCCCTCTTCCTGAGCTCATCACGCAAAATTCTGTGTGATTTGACATGAGTTATAAGACAAGCCCTTCCAGAAAAAACCTTCAGATCCTCTGCCATAGTATTGTAAGTGTTCATGCTGGCAAAGGCTATGGACGATGGATCCATTATTTGGACTCCCTGTTTCCCTGGAAGATTCATTAATATTTTTACCATGTTTAATTTATTATTGTCACCAAAACAACCATCCACAAAAATGTTAATGTTAACTGTCCGTCGAGGTCCTACGAGCTCATGGTAGAGTAAGCTGAGCTGATAATCCAGGTCTGAGACACGCATCAGGTTCATGAGAGGCTCTTCTGGCTGGTTTTCTGTAATATAGCCGAAGGAGAAAGACTTACTGTCATCAAAGTGGTGTTTATAACAGACAGCCGTCCAGATGTGAGAGGGCACCCACACCCTTTCAGAGTCTTCAGAGTTTTCCCTTTGTGGTATCCGTACATTTGCATTAGGTACCGTACCTGTCACAATGTAGGCTGTTGCTAAACCACCATCTCTCTTAAGCTGGTTTAGTAAAAAACTCCTCAAAGTCATCTCCCGCTCTCTCCAGTGGACACGGTTGAAACGCCAGATCATCGGTGCGGCATTGGTCAGAGTGAATGTCGCCGTACGGCCATCACCACAGCTGAAGCTGCTGGGGTTCAGGTGTCCACGATCATATCCGGTACGCTCGTAGTCTCTGCTCACGGCTTGACTTCTTTTAATATCGACGTTGTCTAGTCCAAGGTTTCTCAAGTCTCCCTCACGGACCATATTTCTAATTTGGTAACCTGAAATCTACAGAATAAATAATGTTAGATGGTTACTGGTTAGTTTAATGTTGACCACTTGTAAAATACTTTATTTTGTTTTCAAACTTCTCTTGTGGGAAAAAAGTTCTGTTCTTTCTGCCTTCTTCGTCTCTTTTAGTGGACATTTATAATGTTTACTGTACAATTACAGGGTTAGGGTTAGAAAATTTAAAAAGTCTTAAATTAGATTAAAAAAATGTAAGGCAATAGAACGTCTTATTTTTACCTTTGAAAGGTCTTACATTTTTTATGACAATTTGACTTAGACGTATCTAAATGCTTTTCAATTAAAACTATCTAATTAGCTTACATATTCTTTTTTATTATTCTATCTTTGTGGATTTGCTTGTTCACGTGACAATTCGCTCATTCGCGGCAGCATATTAGCCTGCGCCTGTCTCCTGCACGCGAGAGGAGAGAGGGAGAAGAAAGCTGGTCAATGTCAGTTCAGTTGTAAGTTTATTCTTTATGTGCTTAGGAGTGTGTGATATGTATCGTCTATGATGATATTGTAATCATTGTTTTAACGATGTAGGAGGCACTGTGAGTGTGAGCTGACCTGGCATTTGTCTCTCGTGCTTGCTTTCACTGCGTGATGTGTGCAGTTATAGATATTTTCCCAAATGAGTTTTTGTCTTATATTTATATCAAATTATGTTGATAATAATAATATATATATTATTAGAATATCACATGAGCAATGAGTGCTATAGTGCCGTTTTCCTGTGCACAATTGCAAATGTGATATTTGTTTTATACAACAGTTAAATCAATAATAAGTTAACATTGTGAGTTACTTTTTAGACACAACATTGTCAATATTGTTTGTTTTCCCTTTATTTCGCCGGAAAGAATTTCAAAATCAAACCGTAGCAGAGTCTCCATACAACAGTCCGATGATGTTTTGACTGAAATCAAATAACGAATTATTTTAACGATTCAATGCACAATAAAAATAATTTAATATTTAAATATTGAATAAAAAACAAATCTCATAGCTTTATTTATGCAATTGTAAATGGAGTTGTAAATGTATTAATACCTGTTCTGGCGCCGCTTCTGTGTTACCTCTTTAGTTATAATTTTAGTTATTATTCTAATAATTAAATTGGAATGTTAGAATGTGATATAAAAGGTGATGCATACCTCTAAATAAGTTTAGAAAAATGTCCATGTATAGGTGAAAATGCCCCTGGAAATCAATTTAAGGTGGCAAATATTGCCCTTTAATAAAAATGTTCATTTCTGTCACTGCTGTGAACTGACCACTGCATTGAATATGACTAATATGAATATCTTCGTGAGTCAGCTGTCAACAACAGGCCTAAACCAGCCATGGTACCAGTACACAAACACGACCAGTAAAATATCATCTAATTATTATCAACAAAACTTTGAAAATATCACGATATATTTTTGTCAATATTCCGCACTCCTAATGTACGGTATTCATTTTGATTTCTTCAGGTCTAAAAAAGGTCTTAAAAAGCCTTATATTTGACTTTAAAAAGTGTGCAACCCTGGATCACTGTATTTTCAATGGCAAAACAGAATGAAGACCAATAATTAGATTAACAGAACTGCTTCTTATGGATTGCAGAGCTTAAACTGCTAATAAAGTATTTAGTTAGAGAACAGAAGCTCATAGTCACCTGTGGCTCGACGTGCCAGTCGTCTTTCCTTACACTGTCGCTCTTGCATTTGGGATCAAATGTGTAGGCACTGTAGAGGGGAATCATGTATTCTGTTGAGTACAGCGTAGCGTAATAATAAGAGCGCATGGGAGATACTTGACCAAACGGTATGAGTCGTCCTTGCCCATGCAGCTGACAGATTTTCTTGGCATTCTGAATCTGATCCATTCCTGCTGGTTTTGTGTTTTCGTAGAAAAACTCTCTACACAAATGAAAGGTATTGACCACTTCTGCCTGAGCACTGAATGCTCTCAGCAGAACACAGGTGAGCAGACCCAGAGCAAACATGGTGTGACGCTGGGCTCGTGTTGTAGAGACGCCAGAAGCTGCTTTAAGTACACACTCACACTCAGAGTCAGAGCTGTGGTTGTGGGAGTGACTGAGATTACCACATGAGAAGAAATGAGGAATATGACGGGACCTTCACTTCATCATGCATCATTTGCTGAAAAGCAAACAGAGAACACCCAAATGCTGCTCAGTAATATAAATGCAGTGCTTGTGATTTCAGCTTCAGTTTTCTAATACATGTTGTTTCACTTCTGCGTCTGGAGCGAGGAACAGGCGTTTTGAATGTCAGATAATCCTGTATCTCTCCTGATAATCCCTGTTCTGTCTCTCTCCGTGATCATTCAGGGCAGGTTAGTCTCACTGGAGAGCGAGAAGCTGGAAATGTAAAGCCTGGAGTGGAGTCATTAGAGAGCGCTTTAAACTCTGTTCTTGTCTTGTCTTCATGGTGAGACTCGATGCTTTGGATTTATTTTTGTTGTTGGAAAACAAAAAATGTCTCAAAAAATAAAACGTGATCTCTCTGGCTCTTTATTTCGGCTGGATCTCCTGTCCAACATGAGGTCACAGACAAACATCCCAAATAATGTAATCTCACCGATGAACGCTCAACAGATTGTACATCATAGAACATCATCTCAAGCAGTGAATGTTATCTGACCCAGCTCTTATATGTATTACAACTAACAAAACCAAAGATTACATTTATCACAATCTAATAGTAAATCACTGCATCAACAATATCAGACAATTTAACTAAACTAACGGGAATACATTGTCATTAATCAGCACAAGTCTCTCTTGCAAAATCTCCTGCAGGGTCCCACACCTCGGTTAACTTCAACTTCAAGACCCTTTCAGGGACTTTCCATGTCTAAGGCCGGAGACACACTGGCTGCGTGGCGTAACCCCGAAAATCCACTGGATCCGTCTACGGTGCGGAACGTCAGCGCCACGTTTTTGATGCGTCCTTAGCTCGGCGTCAAAGTCCACTGGAAGCGTCTCAGACGCGTTTCAGCAGCGGATGCGGAGTCTTGACTTGGACTTGACTTGACACAGGGTGTTTTATTTTGAAAATCGACCGGATCCTCTATGCCGTTCTGTGTCTGACTTCCTGCCCGGTATGATGTGCTCTGTGCTGCTTGACGCGGCAAGCGGCGAAAATAGACCTGCTACCTATTCTCTGCGGAGCGGAGCGGAGAGATGCTTCTGGGACGCTTCAGAGACGTGCTGCGTCCGCAGCTGGTGGACTTACGGCGGGTTCACACCGGACGCTGAAGCGACGCGGAACGGAGGCCGCTTCCTTTCGGCGCCCATGTTAACCTATGGTGTCGTTCACGCCGTTCTCGCCTGCGCCGTGAAGCGCCAGTTTCGGCGTCTGGTCTATTTTTTCCGCGAGCCGCGAGTGATCCGCGTCAATTCCGGCAGGAAGTTACACCAAGAAACACTCGACCATCCGGTCAATTGTCAAAATATAAGCAATTTTCAAATTAAAATACCGCGAGTGACAAATGCGAACACACAAAATAAAATAAAAAACCAGAAGAGGAAAATAGTTTTAATAAATTTGAAGAGAGGATGTATATTTCAACGGTATATATACACTACTATAACTGTCTACCATATTATCTCTCTGGCTGCGTGTGTGTCTCGACAACGGATTAATAAAAGAAGTGTACAAACTTCTTGGTTACAGAAACATGGTGTATTTATATTATGAGGTTATTTACTTACCCATGATGTAAAAAAAATAGCTCTGAATAAACAACAACTGAGCAGAAGCGCTTGTCGACCTCCGCGAAGAATACGCGTCTGGTGTAAACAAGCAGGCGCCGGACCGCGCGTGATTTTCCGTTACGCGCCACTTCCGCGTCTGGTGTGAACCCGGCGTTAAGAGCATTGACTATAATGGCCGCGATTAGCTCCGGCATCCGCGACGCTGACGTTCCGCGCAATCCAGTGGATTTTAGGGGTGACACGCAACAGAAACGCCACATTCTATCTGTCGTATTTCTGTTTTGCATAAAACTGAAGAATATTCTGTAAGTCCTATACTGTATTCTAAAATTATCTGATATTAACTTTTGCATGGATTTAATTGAAAAGAGCTTCAGCTCATGTAACCAGCCTTATTTTGCAATGTTTGCAATATTGAGGTTCCATCGTACTAGTTTTGTGCGCACGGAACGTCATGGCAACGTACAACACAAAGTACCTCACGCGGGAAACACTTAACATAACGCAAGCTAGTGTGCATAGGCCACGAAGTGTTGGCGAAATAACAAATTAGCTCACCGGAGGGAATAATATGTTTTTTTTCTCGGATTCACAAACTTTCAAGCACCCGTGGGAACCCTGTTATAATCAATGAAGCCGTCTGTCTACGCTGAGTGTCTGTTGCCGTGTGGGGCTCGTCATGCCATCAGTGAAGACACAGTTAAGGAGTTCGTAGCACAGGGGATAAATCCAGCCCACAGCATGTCTCATTAAGCCCGTTCACACCAAGGACGATAACTATAATGATAACGATAAAGATAAAGGGTTCCACTTTATATTAAGTGGCCCTAATACCTGTGAACATATAACTAAATGTGTACATATTATGTAACTACAGTGTAAGTACACACTGGTACATAGTATCTACAGCTGTAATATTTGTGTAACTACACATATGTAACAACCCACAAAATGGCATGTGTAAGTACGAATGTGTAACAGGAATTATATAACTACATTTTGTAACAACAATATTTTACACAAGTTGTTCCACTTCCACATGCAATCTTAAAGGCACACCGTGTAACTTTTGGCCAAAAGAGTTGACGCATATGAGTTATTTTAACCGTCACGTGACCACAGGCTCGGAAGAGTCAAGGAAAAGAAAAAGACAAAGTGACCGTGTGAGAAAACCGGACAAGATTCTGATTCGGTCAGGCTTTTACTTAAAATAGGATAAGAATGAGCATCAAACAGAAATAACCCGGCGGCTCTTATAGGGGCCACACCTTATTTCCACTCGTTATTTACGACAGTACAAGTACTCAAAAACGGACAAAAACGGAATTCCTATAGTGTACCTTTAAATACTGCAGTTACCAGTTTGGATATAAATGTATTTAATTTCCAAACATAGTAAGTTGAATGCAGATTTAGTTTCACAGTGGAAGAGCTTTATATTTCTCTTTTAGGCCGTCTAAGGACCCTGTGCTGTTCTAGTGCTAACAGCTGCAGGTACACAGACGTTTTACTAAAGAATCTGTTACACTGTGGAGTGTAATGTGTATCAATAAACATTGTTTAGCTTTAGGCCGCGTGTCCACCAAAGCGGCATGTGCATTTTGCCATGCTACAGATACAAATGGTCCCTAGGAGATTAGGAGATGCGCCAGTTTCTTGACGATGGGGACTAGGAGGAACAGGATTAACGGAGACACTTGACACTTGTTGAAGGTAAGTGTAAAGGGGTGAGTGAGTCCTACTCAAAACAAGACCAGAACAATGTGACTGTGTGAGGTGTGTGCTTATATGCTGCCTGTGACGAGGAGATGATGTGCAGGTGACAGCGATCTCTGTGATTGGGCAGTGCATTAAGGTGAGGGCCAGGGAGGATGATGGGAAATGTAGTGAGGAGGTGCTGACCGTGACAGAACTGATGAAGGCGCTCAGAGTCCGTCCACAACCTTACAGTCGCACTGACGACGGGTGTGTGTGTGTGTGTGTGTGTGTGTGTGTGTGTGTGTGTGTGAGCAGGAGTGCATTTTTTGGTCTTGAGATTTCCACAGAACATGTATGTAAAAAAATTTACATGCTCTTAAATAAGACAATAAGCACAATGAAGGCACAGTTTACAGCGCTTACAGAACATAAGTGAGTATTGTTAGGCTCTCCGTGTAATACTGATGCAACGAGACGAGACAGCTGTGTGTTTATAGAGTATTTTACAATGGCTTCAAACGCAGCTCGGCCAATCACTGTCAAGGCCTGGAACATCCACTTTCAATATACATGTACATCAACTACCATTTCTGAGCTCGATCTCCATGTGATTTTATTATCATAACAACCATTATTGCCTTTTAAATAAAATAAAAAAATTCCAGTGTTAATACAACTGAGAGAAAAAGAAACAAATACAGTGTTAATACAATACAAAATAAACTCATACAATGTAAAAATGAATATTTTATTCACAAAAATAATGTGAAGCCACTGAGTTCCTCCGTGAAGACGAGGGCGACTGTAGGATCACTCCTGAGTTCCTCTGTGCTGGTTCGTGATGACCGCTCCTCTGCCGTCCTCCAAGCTGGGTTTATCTCTCCTAATGAAACTGATCAAACACAGCTGATATTAATGAGGAGTTACAGGTGAGAGCCGTGTGTTTGCAGTCATGAAGACGTACCTCCTGCACGTCTGCATCTGCTCCAGGGTCTCGGGCAGCTCCCTCTGGAAGGTCTCGGGCAGAAACAGGTTCGTCACGGAGGAGGCGACGGTCAGGCTTCCCATCAGGAGGTAGGGGACACACTTGCTGAACGTGCCTTAATGAGCGAGAGGAGAACACAACGCCATCACAACAATCACTCAAATCTGTTCTTGACATCAACTCTGGGTTTACCCAGGAATATGAGTAAAAAAATGCTGATAGAATACGTTCTTTCAGGAATATTTCAGAAGTGGTAAACAGACCCATTCAGACTTTGACTCAAGTTTGATCACTTTTTATGAATCCTCCCGAGATTTGTTTGCTTAAATGATGGAAACTTCACAAGAGTAGACGTGAATTCAGGAAGGGAATCAGAAATAGATCTAACGATTGTTTCAAAAACATTAGGAGGAATAATAAATTGGGAAGTATTTCTTTTCCTATAATTAGTCAAATTTTAAATAATGACATGGGAAGGAGGGCAAAACAAGGAAATATAGGAAAATGGCAGTTAGACAAAATAATGAGTGAGGATGGAATGAAAATAATCAAGATTAACGAAGGAAAAGATAATAAAACGATAAATATAGAATTAGTTTCAGAGATACAGAATGCTGCAAAAGAATGTCTTCCAAAAAGTAAAGGAAAGAGGGTGGAGAAAATCAACATGACATCATGACTTTGCGTAAACATACACGCCACTTTCAAGTCAAGTGGCGTGTTATCTATACGCATTTTGAGCTATCCGTGTGTATATCCACGCCGAAATCTTTTGCGTGTATGTCTACGCCATTAAATGTCCGAGTGATTCCGCGTGTATGTGTACGCCGTTAAATGTCCGAGCGAAACGAAGCAAAATCTATATCTACATCTGTGGAGCGATATTTCTTTTCCTAGGATGGTAGGAGAAGACTCATAAATGGAATTAACCCCAGTGACGGGTAGGTTTAGGGACGGGGTTGGGGTAGGTCATATATTTATATATACATAATACAGTAATATAACGTTAAGTCAAAGGCGTTGATAAACACGCTGAAAAGCGATTATGCGTGTTGATAGCACGCCAAAAATGGAAATACGAATTGGCGTGTCATACATACGCCATTTCATGAGATCAGTCTGAGAAAATAGTTCCATGGTGGCATCCCAGCCAGTAATGACATGTGGGGCCCAGATGGGTTAAGTACGGGTTCCATGGTTACTGTGTGGGCATGGGCTTTGGCTGGGTGAAATCAGCGGGTCCCATGTAGGTTTTGTAGTATGAGTCCCACATAGGAAGCCCATATGAGCTGATTACATGGGCCCCATAAGGGACAGGCATGGGCCAATTGTGCATGGGTTTGAACTGAGAACACATATATGGGTCCTGCATAGCATATTTATGGGCCAAGTGGGCATGGTTTTGATAGATTTTTACAGATTATGTTTGTTGTTCAATGTAACAATTTTGTATTAATGTATTTTTTGGAGAGATATTTTTTTTCAGAGACTTTTTTTTTTAAATATACACTACCGTTCAAAAGTTTGGGGTCGGTACGATTTTAAATACTTTGAAAAGAATTCTCTTCTGCTAACCATGGCTGCGCTTATTTGATTAAAAATACAACAAAAATCAGTTATAGTATTGAATATTATTCCAGTGTAAATCAGCTGTTTTCTGTGTGAATATATAGTAAAGTGTAATTTATTCCTGTGATCAAAGCTGAATTTTCAGCATCACCAGTGTCAGGGTCTTCAGTTTCAAATGATCCTTCACAAATCAGTATAATATGAGGATTTGATGCTCAAGAAACATTTATTATTATTATCAATGTTGAAACAGTTGTTGGTCTGTCAGTTGTACAGTTTTTTTTTTTTTTTTTTTTGGATTCTTTGATGAATAGGAAGTTCAAAAGAACAGCATTTGTTTGAAATAGAATCTTTTGTAACATTATAAATCTTCTTTACTGTCCTTGATAAATAAAAGTATTGATTTCTTTCCTCCAAAAAATAAAAATAAAATTCTCACTGACCCCAAACTTTTGAACGGTAGTGTATTTTTGATTTGATTACCGGTATGTTGTGACATTTAACCCTCTGGGGTCCAAGGTGTTTTTGGGGTCCTTGAGATGTTTTGACATACTCTGACATTTGTGCTTTTTTCAGTTGCTTATAAACAAATTACTGGCAAAGGTGTAATTACACTCTATTTAGCACACACAGGGCTACCATAATGTGTTATCAACATGTATGTACATGTTTGTATTTTTGAGAGAATATTGTTTATGCGTGGTTATTGAAAAAACTAAAACTTAAAGTTTCTGAAATAAGGCCACAAAACACATACTAAATATCTGTCCACAAGACTTTTGACTAATGGATGTTGTGGCCTAGAGTTTTTTCTTCAAAATGATCTGAAAATCATCCTGCCTAATCATTCACATAAAACAATAGATTGGTTTAAATTTAAAAATGACACTTTTTGTTTGGAAAGGCAATATGCGCAGGGGTGTGACCTGCTGTGATTCACACCTGAGAAGACAATGGGCCCGCATAATGAGCGCATAATGGGGCTGCATACTAATGAGCCTTTCATTCAGGTGTGTCACTGAGCCACAAGAATGACTATATATATATATATATATATGCCTATATAATACAAAATTGGTTCACAGTTCCAATTATTTATTTATTTTGCAAATTGTGCTTGCAAATTGTATAATATCAAATGTAAACATTTCTAGTAATTGTGCAGTTAATTCTCATACTGTTTTTACAGAAAGTTTGGGAATATATTCCAAATGTGTCACTAATAAAACACAATACAAATAATTTAAAGAGGAGGCTTATATTGAGCTTTTAAGATTTATTTATATGTAGCCTACATATATTTTTGCTATTTTAATAAAAAGGTTACAATTACAACAACAATTAAAATTAACTATATTTCAAATGTAATCTTTCTTTGTATATATTAAAGTATACATTTTATCATACATATTTCACAGTTGCGGATTAATTAGTTTGAATATAGCCTACAATCGAACAAACACTATAATAACATCTTAGCAAGCAAGCTTATTTGATGTGGCAGTATTTTACAGTAAAAACGACATCTTGTCTTTCATATGTAACATATCGTTTTTATGATTAGGACATATAAATGTTAATTTGCAGTTTAATACATTGCTTATACAAAAATATTTTATTTCAACATATTTCAGTCGATTTTTACTCATCTCAGTATTGGAATATAGTTAGGTAAAAGCTGTTCATTCATTCACACACAAAAATGCGATTCATATTCAAACAGTCTTATTGTTTACAGACACTATTTCATATCGCGATTAGAACAAAGCACTTGAAAATAAAGAATGTAGCCTACCTATTCCTCAGCTGGATCCGTTGCTCCTCCAAATGAAACTACCTGTACACTCTAAAAAATGCTGGGTTGTTTCAACCCAAATTTGGGTCAAATATGGACAAACCCAAATGTTGGGTTAAAAATGCAATTAAAAAATTTACAGTTGAAAGTGAAAGTTGAATTTGGGTTAAAATTTGAAATGACATTTTTAACCCAACATTTGGGTTTGTCCATATTTTACCCAAATTTGGGTTCAAACAACCCAGCATTGTTTAGAGTGTAGGCTACTTCTGAGGTAATTTTTTCCAGGATTATTATTAAGATAGTATTATTCCTCACAGCGTCCTAAATATGAGTCTCTTTCGGTGGGTTATCCAGCTGATGTGTGGGCGTGGATCGCCTCAGAGCGTTTGTGTTTGAATAGAGCGCGCGCTCCGTGGGCGTGGTCAAATTAACTTTAATGAGCTGAGACGAGAACGACTATCATCTCTCTCTTTTCGTACAGATTACATAAAATGAGAAAAATTGTTTTTTTATATAAATTACTTCATTTAAAAGAAGATAATTCAGGCTTCATGCCTGTGTGCCTGTATACCTGTTTGACTGAGTATTTGCAGTTACAGTTCATTTTTCGGACGCGTTTCAGAATGGACTTCACTGACAGAGAGAACGCAGAACGCGCATCATGTTTATTTTTCTTTATTAGGCGAAAAGCACAACACTTTGTTTTTATTATGAGGCTCCACAAACAAAATACAAACTTAACAGGATCGAATGATGTACAACACTTTTATGTAAGATCAAAATCAACAGAGTAATTTGAGTCTCTTTTGCACTGATAAGGAAAAAAGTGAGCTGGTACCGCCGACCCCAGAGAGTTAAATTGTTTTTTAAAGATCATTTTTGTTGTTTAATTTAACAATATATTTCTTGCAGTTCAAAGCGTCAAGTGTCTTGTATTTATCTTGGACTTATATTCATTCTTCGTTTTTAGTTTTTCTTAGATTGTTTCCTTAACCATTTGGCATGGTTGGGCTTAGATAGGCCTTGCATGAATTGCCCAGTTAGGACCCACATAAGACCCTCACAAGTCCCACTTAAAACCCATCTGGGCATCCACGGCTGGCCCCCTGTGTGGATTCCGGGTGCAAGCCCATTTTAAACGCCCTTTAAGCAGGTGGGGCCCAAATGGGTCTGTCATGAATTGCCCGGTTAAGATCCCACATAACACCCTTATAGATCCCTTTTAAAGCCCATCTGGGTATCCACGGCTGGATCCTGGGTGCAAGCCCACTTTAAACCCCTTTGGGCAGGTGGGGCCCCAATGGGTCTGGCATGAATTGCCCAGTTAGGACCCACATAAGACTCTTACAGAGCCCATTTAAAGTCATCTGGGTAGCCATGGTTGGATCCCGGGTGCAAGCCCACTTTAGACCCATTTGGGCAGGCGGGGCCCAAATGGGTCTGACATGAATTGCCCAATTAAGACCCATGCAGTACCCTTACAGGTCCCACTTTTAGTATGTCTGCGCTTCCACGGCTTGCCCCAATGTGGATCCCGGGTGCAAGGCCATAATGGGGCCCACATTTTCCGCCCATGAAGCCCTCATCTGGGCCCCACATGTCATTGCATTCCAGTTGAGGAAGGGGATCATGATTAAAGAGAGGAGTGGAAGTGGGGAAGAATATGAATATCCAGTGTTAATATAGGAGAGGAAAATGCAACAAGTGAAAGAGAAAAGCAGAAATAACACATTAGGTAATAACAAAGCAGATCCAAGATGCAATTTTAAAATAGAAGAGGTAAATTCCAAAGACTATAATATTAAATCATTTAGGCAGAGGTGTTTGATTATTTTATTACTTTTGATCTCAGGAAACGTTAAACCTAATCCAGTCTTGGCCTCAAGGTTTGAAACACCTGCAGATTTTAAAACAAGGTGGAGTTGGTTTTATACATTTAAATGTTCAGAGCTTAAAATGGATATGTTCCGTGTCTGGGTCCAGTCGGCTGATGCGGATGTGATTGTTGAAGCTTGGCTGAGCAAGTCTGTTTTGGACAAGGATATTGTATAAATGGCTATAATGTATAGCACTGACAGACCAAAAAGGGGTGGGGGCGTAGCAATGTTCATATATAAAAAAGTAGGTTTCATGTTAAAGTATTGCTCTCTAAATCAGTGAGTAAACTGATTCGAGGTTTCTCGAGGCTCTAAATCTCTCAGCAGAAGTGTCTATAGGACGCCATCTGCTGTTCTCCCTTCTTTATTACAGATCCTTTCAGATCTACATTATAAAGAGTTAGTAGCTCTTGGTGACTTAAACTGGCCTTGGTTGCATTCAGCAACTGATGAATTGAAAACCTATTGGGATCCATTAAATCTTTTTCAGATTGTTGACAGTCCCACTAGACTGAATTCAAAATGTCTGGAAAAATCATCTCTAATAGATTTAATCTTAACAAACGTTAACAAAAGTATTTAACTGCTTCCATATTTGTGAAGGACATCAGTGACCACTGTGTCATCGCACAGTTAGAAACACAAGAATTCCTAAAACCAAACCATGCATCATAACAAGGCGTGACATGAAATATTTCTCTGAACAAGCGTTCCTTCATGATTTGAACAATTTTGAGTGGGAAAAAAATTAATTTAATTCCTGATCTTGAAATAGCCTAAGATTTATTTTATGCACATGTTTCTGCTTTAGTCAATAAACATGCCCCCTTTAAAAGGTACAGAGAGAAGGGTCGGAATAATGCATGCTTTACTCCTTTCTTACACAATATGCATGAGCGTAACCTGGCATGGGCAAAAGCCAGGAGAACAGATCTAAATTCAGATTGGCTTAATTTCAGAAAAATACGCAACACATGTACGGTTGCATTCAGAAAAGCTAAAGCTGCACATTTCTTTATACATCAAGCAACCTAAATAATTCATCAACTTTTGGAAAACTGAAATGAAGTCTGTATTTACCCAGGAATATGACGTATGGCGCGGTGATGCTGCCGATGCGAGCGGCGGAGGAGCACATGCCGAGGCCCAGGTTCCTCAGGACGGTGGGGTAGAGCTCCGCCGTGTAGATGTACACCACCGTGAAGGACATGGTGAAGCCGAACTTCCCAGCCATCTCGAGAGCCAGAGCCAGAGAGGGAAGATCTGCGGAAGAGCTCGCCGTTACACTGATCTTATAATGCCCTTTCACAAGAAGTAAAATAAGTCTCTGATGTCCCCAGAGTGTGTGTGTGAAGTTTTAGCTCAAAATACCCCACGGATATTTTTATATAGCATGTTAACATTGTCACTTTTTGAGGGTGAGAAAATATGTGCCGTTTGTGTCTGTCCCTTTAAATGCAAATGAGCTGCTGCTCCCGGCACAGGGGGCGGAGCTTCAAGAGCTTGTGTATGTGTGTGTGTGTGTGTGTGTGTGTGTGTGTGTGTGTGTCTATGTGTACGCACTGAACAGTTCAAACCGGAGTCGGACAGTGATGGAGAGACTCGAGAAGACGTGACGACATGTAGAAGCAACAGGACATTTCTGAACGTTAGTTGATGAGTGTATGCAGCCGTGTAGTTCTACCAGCCATTTGTTGTAGTCCTTAAAAAGTGTTTTCTGTAAAAGTAAATGTCTCCCTTTGCTTTGAGCTTTGAGTCGTGACTGTGCAGATGTTGTTTCTGCTCAAACATCAACATTACACACTAACTAAAGTTAGAAAAGTGAAATCATAATCAAATACCCCTTTGATCAAATGCTGATAGAATATGTTCTTTCAGAAATATTTCAGAAGTGGTCAACAGACCCATTCAGACTTTATGTAAAGTTTGATCACTTTTTATGCATCCTCCCGAGACTTGTGTGTTCCTATATAAGAATCTGCAAAAACACGTGAATGTTTCTTACAAATGTCAAGCACAGCTTTCCTGATAAATATGTGACTAATAGGATTTACCTCTTTTCTTTGAAATGTCCAAGTCCAGTTTTACTTGCATAGAGCACAAGCTAATCCTTGACCCGTAGTAAACTCACAGGCGTTCATAGGATTGAGTGTATAAACCGAGTGCTAATGCTTTTTCTTCAAAGTGCACTAAACTTGCACTCGATTCTTCAAATTCTCCTTCTCTACTCTTGCTTACTGCTCTTTTATGGCTTTAAGGCCTTGAGATATTCCTCATTACTAAGTTGCTCTGGATAAATCCTCTGCTAAATGAGTAAATGACTCGTATAGCTCCACCAAGTTTTCAACACTATCCCTCTCTGTAAGGTCAAGTTCTTACTTTTTATACTGTATAGGATCACTGCTCGAAGGATCATGTTCGAAGCCTGAATCTTAACCCCGGATCTCCACCCACTGCAGAACGGCTGCGGCCATGACTGACGGCTGAAGTCACGAGGACCCACGAGATCTCGCAAATTCACGAATGATCGCGATATAACAGACTGCCCTGTGCTGGATTGCTGTGGAGCTCTCCGGCATCCGGAAAATATAGAAGCTCTGCGGATCTGGAGGGCTGCGGATCGCCGGAGCCGGGACGGAGTCGGAACGCAGCCGTTCCACAGTCAGTGTAAATACACACATTGACTTTAATGGAAACCTATTGACTCCGCCCGCCGTTCCAGAGCAGATCCGCAGCCTTTCCGCAGTTGGTGGAGATCCGGGGGTAAGTCGGCCTTTATTTGAGCTGTGTTGTACTGTGAGTCTGATGTGATCTGTGTGGTATTCTGAGCTCTTACTGTCAGGGATCGTCAGGGAGCAGGAGCAGGAATCCTCCTCCTGTAATGAGGAAAGCGGAGAGCACGGGTCTGCTGTGTTGTGTGTTGTGTTGTGTTGAGTTGTGTTGTGTTGTGTTGTGTTGAGTTGTGTGTGTTGTGTTGTGAGCTCTTACTGTCGGGGATCATCTGCAGCAGGAGCAGGAATCCCCCTCCTGTGACGAGGAAAGTGGAGAGCACGGGTCTGCTGTGTTGTGTGTGTTGTGTGTTGAGTTGTGTTTAGTTGTGTTGAGTTGTGTGTGTTGTGTTGAGTTGTGTTGTGTTGTGTTGAGTTGTGTGTGTTGTGTTGTGAGCTCTTACTGTCGGGGATCATCTGCAGCAGGAGCAGGAATCCTCCTCCAGTAATGAAGAAAGCGGAGAGCACGGGTCTGCTGTGTTGTGTTGTGTGTGTTGTGTTGTGTTGTGTTGAGTTGTGTTGTGTTGTGTGTTGTGCTGTGAGCTCTTACTGTCGGGGATCATCTGCAGCAGGAGCAGGAATCCTCCTCCTGTGATGAGGAAAGCGGAGAGCACGGGTCTGCTGTGTTGTGTTGTGTGTGTTGAGTTGTGTTGTGTTGTGTGTGTTGTGTTGATTTGTGTTGAGTTGTGTTGAGGTGTGTGTGTTGAGTTGTGTTGTGTTGTGTGTGTTGTGTTGAGTTGTGTTGAGTTGTGTGTGTTGTGTTGAGTTGTGTGCGTTGTGTTGAGGTGTGTGTGTTGTGTTGTGAGCTCTTACTCTCAGGGATCATCTGCAGCAGGAGCAGGAATCCTCCTCCTGTAATGAGGAAAGCGGAGAGCACGGGTCTGCTGTGTTGTGTGTGTTTTGTGTGTTGTGTTGTGTGTGTTGTGTTGAGTCGTGTGTGTTGTGTTGTGAGCTCTTACTGTCGGGGATCATCTGCAGCAGGAGCAGGAATCCCCCTCCAGTAATGAGGAAAGCGGAGAGCACGGGTCTGCTGTGTTGTGTTGTGTTGTGTTGTGTGTGTTGTGTTGAGTTGTGTGTGTTGTGCTGTGAGCTCTTACTGTCAGGGATCATCTGCAGCAGGAGCAGGAATCCTCCTCCTGTAATGAGGAAAGCGGAGAGCACGGGTCTGCTGTGTTGAGTTGTGTTGTGTTGTGTTGTGTGTGTTGTGTGTGTTGTGTTGTGAGCTCTTACTGTCGGGGATCATCTGCAGCAGGAGCAGGAATCCCCCTCCTGTAATGAGGAAAGCGGAGAGCACGGGTCTGCGAGGACAGCTCTTCAGGAGGAACGTGGACACGATATACGCCGGCACCTCCGTCACCGCGGACAGGAAGCAGTTGAGGAACGGGTCGCCGCTGAGGTTAGCCGTGTTCAACGACAAGCCGAAATATCCAATGTTGATGGCCATCCTATCAGAAAAGGACAATCACTGACACATGAAGCGAACGGAGCCAGCCGAAAAAAATATGTTCTGAGAATGTTTACCATGTATGTTGTGTATGAATGTAAACCATTATTTCTGAATGTTCTCTGAAAGGTAAAATCATCCAGTGTTATAAATGCTTTATTTTTTTTAATTTCTTGGTTATGTGAACGTTAAAGGGATCGTTCACCCAGAAATTACATTATTATTATTTGCTCACCCTCATGCTCTTTCTTTCCTCAGATAAACACAAACAAAGACTAATAATTTCCTAAAAATCTTTGTTTGTGTTTATCTTAAGAAAGAAAGTCATGAGGCTGAGCAAATGATGAGAGAAACGTCTCGTTTTTTGGGTGAACGATCCCTTTAAGGAAACATCCCATTTAATAATTCTGCACACATTATGATTAATAAGTTTTGGTCGATCGGATCACAAGTGGACGACACTAAATACAGGTGTAAATGGGGTCTAAAAGTTTTGAGCTCGTCCACTTTCCACCACTTAAAGGGGTAGTTGAAAACACATTCGACCGGATTGCTTTCGTAGTGTAAGTCTCTCTGTTTACTGACCTAACGCTTAAACATTATGGGAAGAGCTCTAGCCGGATGGGTTTGGTTTAAAGATGAAAAAGCTCAATGTTCTCAGCGTTCCTGATTTCTAACACACACTCACAGTAGTCGGCTGGTCTTGAGGCTGTCAGAGCAAAAACTAAAGCTGATCCTCTCGTGTGTTTTTCCTTCGTTTCCTTTCGTATTTATTCGTAAATTTCACAAGCTTATTTCGTCCATTAGATCTAAAGATCTGAAAACGCCCACACATTTACCCATAGTCCCCATAGACCCCTCGAAGAAATCAGGACAGAAGTGGACGAAAGTGGACAGAAGAGACGGATTAAAACACCAGTTGTAAACGGGAATCCGTCTCCCTCGTCTACTTGTGATCCGATCCAGCAAAGCACATCCAAATTCCAGGTGTGAACAGGACCCGTGGAAACACTTTTAAATGTTCTCTGAACGTTCTGAAACGTTTAAAATACATCTGTCAAACATCCAGCTGAAATATACCATAAACAATGTATAAATAATGTTTTGCGCTAACATTATTAAAGACCAGATAACTTTGAACAAACGTTCTATAATGTTACTGAAAGAACATTTGTGAAAGAAAGAACAACTTTGAGAGAACGTTCCCTGTTCGCTGAGTAAATGATTCGAAATAACAGATGCAAGAAATAGAGAAGAATAAGATGTAAAAGCATAATCTCTCACCACAGCAGTAAACACATGAAGGTTGTCTTGCGGATCTCGCTGGTCCTCAGGACGTCTAGGATGCTGAACTGGTTGCTCTGGGATCCCGCCTCTTTAACCTAGCGATGGATGTAGAAACACAGATTTGTCTTTGGCATCATCCCACTTATAATACTTATAATCAAGCCTCAAGAGCAGGGTTAGGGTTAGGGTTAGGGTTACCTGGCTGAAGATGACGTCTGGCGCAGAGACCTTGTTCTTCCTCGCCGCCTCCCTCACGATGGCCTCCGACTCCAGCACTCGTCCCTGAGAGAGAAGCCAGCGCGGAGACTCCGGGATCAGCCTGGGTACAGCAAGGTTTGACACGCGTGGACATAATGGGAAGTAAACATCCCTAATACATGCTTCATCATCATCATCATCTTGCTTGTTCTGACTCAGAACTAGTAACTTAATAACTTGCTACCTGACTAGTCTTGTCATTGAATACTTTTTCACTCTTGCTCAAGTAATTATTAGGGGTTCAAGCGCGTGTCTTTGTTAGAATTTCTGAGGATCATCATTCCTACCTAAAAGTGATCGGGCAGAGAAGAGGCTTGAATCTTTGAGCACTGGTGAAACCCATCCCGTCTACAACAGCTCGCCCCGATCGGCCTGACAGAACTTTCAGGTATTTCGGATTTTTTGAAAAACCTACTTTTGCGAACCACTCCTAGGTTTTTCAATCAGAACCAAACTCTTACGTAGGAGTAGGGGGAAATTTGAAACAGATGTTCTGAGAGATTGATAATGATATATGGGAATTATAAAAAAAGTATTGGTTGGATTTTTACAATTATAGGCTGGTTGTTTACACACACTGTGGACACACATTTGTGTTCAAACACCTTATAAAAGTGAATTTTGCATAATAGGTCCCCTTTAAAACATATATTTCCTTGGTGTTTTTCATCTGTGAGTTGTTGGTGTTTGTGGAGACTCACCACCACAGCGGGACGTACACCACCGTCACCCCCGACAGAACCCTGAGCAGAATCCTCCAGTCACGCACCGCGAACGCAATCCACGGCAGAACCATGTAACCGATGCAGTAATGCAGAAACGCTCCCAGTGTGGTGAACAGAACTCGCAAGGACTCACTCAAGGCTTCACTACCTGTGAACATATATGTGTAGGGTTATACAACAACATCATTATATTCACTTCTGTTTTCTTCAAAAACATCTGATCTTATCACATGCTTACCAAGGACAAATGCTGTGAGGTACAGGGATATCTGGAAAGTGCCAACAAAGAAGTACAGCAGGCAGAAGAGCAGCCAGGAGTGAGAGAAGGACTGAGCGAACATCAGCAGCGCTTCAGCCGCCAGAGACGTGAAGAGAACCTTCTTCCTGCCGAACCTGAGACACGAGACAGCAGACGTCAAGTCAAGTCAAGACTTCTTCCTTTATATAGCACTTTTAACAACGTAGATTGTTCCAAAGCTGCTTTACATTGATAATATGAAATTAAAGTAACAGAGATTGTTTTGGCTTTACAGGAGCTCTAGAATAAAGTTATTTTCCAGCTAAAGTTAGTTTTAATTGATTCACTTCCGTCGCAACGATCATTAGTTATTAACTTTGTATCATCAGCGTAATAGTGAAAACTAATGCCATGCTTCCTAATGATATCTTCTAAGGGTAGCATGTACAGTGTGTGTTTGTGTGTGTGTGTGTGAGGGAAGCATGTACAGAGTGAACAGCAACGGTCCTAGTACTGAGCCTTGTGGTACGCCATACTGAACTTGTGATCGATAAGACATCTCTTCATTTACTGCTACAAACTGATAACGGTCAGATAAGTATGATTTAAACCATGCTAGTGCAATTCCACTAATGCCAACATCATTTTCGAGTCTATTTAAAAGAATGTTGTATTCGATAGTGTCAAATGCAGCACTAAGATCGAGTAACACTAATAGAGAGATACAACTGCGATCGGATAATAAGAGCAAATCGTTTGTGACTCTGATGAGAGCGGTCTCAGTGCTATGGTACGGTCTAAATCCTGACTGGAAATCCTCGCAGATATCATTTCTTTCTAGAAAGGAACACAGTTGTGAAGATACTGCTTTTTCTAGTATCTTTGACAGAAAAGGCAGATTCGAGATCGGCCTATAATTGACCAATTCTGTACGATCAAGTTGCGTTTTTTTAACAAGTGGTTTAATCATTGCCAGCTTAAAGATTTTTAGTACGTATCCTAGAGACAAAGATGAATTAAAGATACTGAGAAGAGGATCTTTGACCTCTGGAAGCATCTCTTTCATTAGCTTAGTCGGTATAAGGTCTAACATACATGTTGTCGATTTAGATGGTTTAACAAGTTTAGAAAATTCTTCCTCTTCTATTGCAATGAATGAATCAAATTTTTCCTCAGGGAGACTACACTGCACTCCCTGATGCGATACTGTAGTAGACGGTTGCATAGTTATTATTTTCTTCCTGATATTATCAATCTTGTAAGTGAAGAAGGTCATAAAGTCACTGTTGTGCTGCTTGGAAACTTCTGGGGTTGAAGCTTTATTTTGCGTTAGTTTAGCCACTGTTTCAAATAAATACCTAGGGTTGTGTTTATTTTCTTCTCATAGGGTTGAAAAATAAGCAGATCTAGCTGTCACGATCCACACAGGAAACAGGGGTAGATCCAAAAATGCAGTATTTAATAGGGAAATCCGTAAATCATTATCCAGTCCAAGCAAAGGTCAAAATCCAAAAGGCAATCCAACACATAAAAACAAAACAAGAAACAGGCAAGAACAAACATCCGAAGTGGTGTGATACATAACAAGGAATCCGTAACAAATACTAAAACAGACAGGGTATTTATACACACACAATCTAACAAGGTGATGGGAAACAGCTGAGTGCAATGAACTGATGAGTGACAGACAGAATGCTGGGAAATGAAGTCAAATGTGAAAGACACCGTGAGAACGAGGACCTCTAGTGACAAACAAGCGAAACACAACCAGACACTGTGACATAACCCCCCTCTCTACGGAGCGGCTACCAGACGCTCCACGACATAGTTACAACACAACACAAGAATTCAGGAGGGAGGTGGAACGGTGGAGGATCGGGGGAGGAATGGTGGGCCAGGTCCATGAAGGGGAAGAAGAACAAGGGATACAGGAAGGACAGACCAGGGTGGGGCAGGGGAAATGGACAGTTCGGGAGGCCGGGGCGGAAATGTCAGTCCATCTGGCGGCCAGGGCGGAGACTTTCCCTCGGGCGGCCAGGGCGGAGACTTTCCCTCGGGCGGCCATGGTGGTGAGAACCCTTCAGGTGGCCATGGTGGACACTCCGGCTCAGGAACAGCGGACACCGGCTCAGGAACAACGGACACCGGCTCAGGAACAGCGGACACCGGCTCAGGAACAGGAACAGCGGACACCGGCTCAGGAACAGCGGACACCGGCTCAGGAACAGCGACAAGAACAGAAACGGTTACAAGAACAGACACAAAAACAGAAACAAACACAGGCTCTGGCGCTGGAACAGACACTGGCTCTGCCTCCAGCTCAGGAACGGGCACTGGCTCTGCCTCCAGCTCTGGAACGGGCACTGGCTCTGCCTCCGGCTCTGGAACGGGCACTGGCTCTGCCTCCGGCTCTGGAACGGGCACTGGCTCTGCCTCCGGCTCTGGAACGGGCACTGGCTCTGCCTCCGGCTCTGGAACGGGCACTGGCTCTGCCTCCGGCTCTGGAACGGGCACTGGCTCTGCCTCCGGCTCTGGAACGGGCACTGGCTCTGCCTCCGGCCCTGGAACAGCAGACACTGGCTCCGGCTCTGGAACAGCAGACACTGGCTCCGGCTCTGGAACAGCAGACACTGGCTCCGGCTCTGGAACAGCAGACACTGGCTCCGGCTCTGGAACAGCAGACACTGGCTCCGGCCCTGGAACAGCAGACACTGGCTCCGGCTCTGGAACAGCAGACACTGGCTCCGGCTCTGGAACAGCAGACACTGGCTCCGGCTCTGGAACAGCAGACACTGGCTCCGGCTCTGGAACAGCAGATACCGACATATCCAGGATCCGCGCCAGACGTTCCAAATAGTCCGTTAGTGCCTTGGCGGCCACACAAATGGGCATTTCTGGATCTGTCTCAGACTGGGCAGACTGGACGTGAACAGTCTCTCGCTGGGCAGACGGGACGTGAACAGTCTCTCGCTGGGCAGACGGGACGTGAACAGTCTCTCGCTGGGCAGACGGGACGTGAACAGTCTCTCGCTGGGCAGACGGGACGTGAACAGTCTCTCGCTGGGCAGACGTGACGTGAACAATCTCTGACTGGGAAGATGGGACGTGACCATTCTCTGACTGGGCAGACGGGACGTCAACAGTCTCTGTTTGGGCAGACGTGACTTGAACCATCTCTGAATCAGCCTCCAGAAAAGCCGTGGGCCGCTGGGACATGGCCTCCGGGCCTTTGAGGAGGCTAGAGGTCTTCCTCCTCCTCCGCCGTTTCTGCTGGTGAAGTGCGCACTCTGGGCTGGACGGAAACAGCGCCGGATGAAACTCTGGACTGGATCTCACCAGCCCAGGGTCGAAGAGGGGCCTGAGTGGATAATGGTATTGAGATTCCTCTCGACCACCTCCACCATTGCGACCTCCACGGGTCCCGCGAAACTTGACCAACCGGGTCCCCTCAAAAAACTCCCTTCTCTCCCGCTCTGTGGCTGGGGAAGAGATATTAAAAAACATACCGCTGGATCTTGGTTTTGACGGATTCCTTCTGTCACGATCCACACAGGAAACAGGGGTAGATCCAAAAATGCAGTATTTAATAGTGAAATCCGTAAATCATTATCCAGTCCAAGCAAAGGTCAAAATCCAAAAGGCAATCCAACACAAGAAACAAAACAAGAAACAGGCAAGAACAAACATCCGAAGTGGTGTGATACATAACAAGGAATCCGTAACAAATACTAAAACAGACAGGGTATTTATACACACACAATCTAACAAGGTGATGGGAAACAGCTGAGTGCAATGAACTGATGAGTGACAGACAGAATGCTGGGAAATGAAGTCAAATGTGAAAGACACCGTGAGAACGAGGACCTCTAGTGACAAACAAGCGAAACACAACCAGACACTGTGACACTAGCAGCTTTTAAAGCCTCTCTGTAAGCAATCGAGCTCTCCTTCCATGAAATGCGAAATACCTCTAGTTTAGTTTTCTTCCAGTTTTGCTCCATTTTTCTGGCTGCTCTCTTAAAGAGTGTGCTCGTCAACTCTACTGTACGACACGAGACAGCAGACGTCAACTCTACTGTACAGACGAGCAACGAGAACATCTTCAGGCTTGAGGGGGGAGGAGCTGCTTGCAGGAAACTAAACATGTAGTTGCATTGCTTTAAAGCTTACTAGATCTGTAAAGCACACAGCTCATACAGCTTTGGTCAGATATTTTGCATAATTTTTTAAGCATTTGCCAATTTAATGCACAATATCTGTTGAATGACGGTCCGCTCTAAATGTGGACAGAAACATTACCTGTCAGAAAGTTGGCCAGAAACCAGAGAGCCCAGCAAGTAGCCCATGTATAAAGTTGAGGTTGCGAATGGGACTCTCCACTCGCTGTCACACACCAAATCCCACTGCGGGAGAAAACACAACAACATGGCAGCTTATCATCAAAAGTTCATTTGGACACTCACGTTGTTATTATCATTATATTATTGGTCCAATGCAAGACATATATAGCTATTGAGAAGAATGCGACAGACCATGTCAATGCAATGTTGAAGACTTGAGTTTACATACACGCAAACAAATAATTCTAATCATGGCATAGTTTGTTATTAAGAATTTGCATGTATTTAAACTCAAATCACCATACAACTCTGAAAACTCTTCTGTTTATTCAGTTAAAAACACGGTTTAAATATGGATAGTTGCTGAACAAGCTAAATTCAGTTTGTTAAAATGTATGAGATTTCCTATTGCCTAATCATTCGGATCTATTAATGACAAACAGTTCCAATCGAAATTGTTCAACCCCCATTGCAAATTAGGTTTATTGGCAAAATGTACAGACTTTCAGCTGTTTGCAATAAACAAATCAAGCAAAAGTAATTGAAACACCTCAACACAACAAAAC